ATGCTGTGGCGAGATTCCTGAAGGGACAGAGGAAATCTGTTCATGCTACCCCCCTTCTGAGATCCCTTCACTGGCTTCCGATTAATTTTAGAATTGAGTTTAAAATTGTATTACTGGTTTATAAATCATTAAATGATTTAGCACCTACTTATTTGTCTGATCTACTTCACCCCTACTCTCCCACCAGAGGCCTTAGATCCAAAGATAAGCTCCTCCTTCAGATACCCAAAACCCGGCTAAAATCGAGGGGTAACCGAGCCTTTGAAGCCTTTGAAGTGACACTGTGGAAAAAGCTCCCACTCTATATTAGATCGGCTTCCACTTTGTCTGAGTTCAATGAGTTCAAGAAAACGTATTTATTCTCTGTTGCTTTTAGCTTATAAGAGTGTTCTGTTTTGCTGCTATTAGAGTACTTAATTTTTAATTTTATTCTAACTTGTACAGCACTTTGGTCGACCTGTGGCTGTTTTTAAATGTGCTTTATAAATAAACTGAACTTGAACAACCTGTTAACCCCTTTTCCCTTCTATTGTTAATGAAAGAAAACCTTCATTTGTGACCAAGCACACTGCTGTAGATGAGTCTGAATGTGCGAATGAGAGTGCAGGTGAACACGGCACAGATGAGAGCATGCAGAGCAGTCTGGATATCAGCAAGCTGCCGCAAGGTTCGTCCTCTGTTAAGATGTTAAAGTCTTCTGAAGCGTGTCGTTTAAGAGGCGCACTGACTCTCCTCCTTCACGTTTCGCAGGCACAGTGGTGGTCAAGCCGGAACCGGTTGCTAATGAAGCTAAAGATGAATTCCGTGGCCCCGAGTTTCGTAGCAGAGGAAGTAAAGTGAAAGAGGACGGTGCTCGGAAACGTCCTGGTGAGAGGGTTTGTGTACTGTAAATGATCCCATGCCCCATTAAAGGCTAGTGAATTATCTCGGATCGATTTATTTGTTACATAACTGCTGCACTGGGTCAAATGGATCTATTTTATATGTTGTTTTCAATGGTCAAACAATTTCTTATTTCTAGGTTAATGTGCTGAAATTCCATTGAATCTTTATTTTTCTTTATTTTTTTTCCAAAATGGCAATCACTAATGTAATTTTAAAAACGAAGTGTAATTTTAGTGTAACCTATTCGGCCAAACAATGGAAGAGATTAAATGCAGTTCTTAAGTTTAAAAATTAAGTTAGGTCATCATAATGAAGCAGACCTATAGATCTCCACATTTATCTGTTGTATTGTCATTCGATATTTACATAAAATTCTCTTATTTGTATGGCTATATGTTTGGTCTCTAAAATCACCATTAGGTCAAATACTGTGGATATCACAATCTATCAGCCTAATGCATTTTATTAAAAAAAATATAGGTTCTCTTCTCTCAGAGAAAACAAAAACAGTCCTGAAATATGCCCATATGTCATGTTTTGGAGGCACACCTAAAAACACACTTGAATAAGCTGAGTAGTAACCGATTACATGTAATTTGGATTATGTAATCAGGTTCCAAACGTTAAAATTAGATTATATTACAATTTAAAATACTTGCAATCAGACTACAGTTGCTTTTTTATTGATTACATATTCACATGATCTCATGACATGCAGGTAAACGGGTGTAATTCATTTTTTATGTTTTATTTTGATTTGTTGTTGTAATTTGAAAAATATTTATTTTAATTTAACATTTATATGATTTAATTAAGTAGCTCTTGATTAAACTCGTGAACCCCTTTGCGAATGGAATATATATTGTATTTTTATATCAATATGGTACAAGATTAGCATATTTAAATCAATGTGATGAACAAGTTAGGTCAAAATTAATAAAAAAAAAAAAAAGTAGTCTCATTATATTACCTGAAATGTGTAATGTAATGGGTCACGTTACTAACTACAATTTTTGTCATGTAATTTTGAATCAGTAACAGACTACAGTTTGTTACTACACTCATGAACTAGTGTTGAGGCTGCTCCCAGAGTCTTAGCGTTGCAGTATGATTGTTTTATTATCGTCATCATCTATTTTTTAATCTCTTGCAGACGAGCGGCTCAAGGAGATTTTTAATTGCACAGCATGTGGACAGCAAGTCAATCACTTTCAGAGAGATTCTGTGCTTCAACATCCCGCACTACATGTTCTTATCTGCAAGGTAGAAACCAGATTAACTTGTTACAGCCAATTACGCGCTTGTATCTCTCTCATTCACATGCCTTTTTCTTACAGTCATGTTTCAAATATTATATGAGTGATGATATCAGCAAGGATGAAGATGGAATGGATGAGCAATGCAGGTTGGTGCAGAACATTTATTTATTTATAACACTCTAGCTGTGACGATACCAACATATTAGTAGTCAGTGGAATTTCACATTTCCCAATACCACTTTTAATGCCACAGCAAACACTATTATCCTGATGAATGCACTGCAGTATAAAGTTAAATTAAGTGAAAACATTGTTGTGCAACTTTAAGGGTTCTCAGTTTAATCAGTAAATGGGTCAAAGACAAAAAATGGTTTTCAAGCATCAAAAACAATAAGTGAAATACAGCTTTGAATTGTTGTTGGTTTTTAATACATTACAAAGTGTCCTGTTTAATTTTTTTTTTTTTTATAATTATTTTTATTGAATTTTCACTGTAATACAAAAATAACAAGGCATCGCCCAAAAGGAACAAAACAACAAAAAAAACACACACACATAGCTCAGATTATTAAATAAAACAGGACTACCCCATATATAACAGATTAGGGAAAGCAGGGAAAAAAATGAATAGGGCAGAAAAGTTAAATGTCCAGACAGTTACACAATTACAATATTCCTTGTAGTATAATAGGGCAAAGATGAGGTTCCATATAGTCCAGATATGGAGTCCAGACTTTATAAAACAGGCCTGTTTTTTGATGTAATACATAGGTAAGACGCTCCAGGGGAATCAGGTAAACAATTATCTTATGCCAACCTTTAAGTGATGGAGATTTATCACTAATCCAATTAAGTAAAATATTTTTTCTGGCAGCAAAGGAGAGAATATTATACAATTTCTTGTTAACAAATGAAACAATGCATTTATTAGGTATACCCAATACCAATGAGACTGGGTCAAAATCCAACTGCATATTAAAGATCTTTTCCATTTCCCCCAGCACCAAAAACCAATACCTTTGCAGTCTGTTACATGACCACAGACAATGTGTTAAAGTACCTACTTCAGTTTTACATTTTAAACACATAGGCGATAGAGAGGGGTTAAAAAAATGCCTGCGGTTAGGAGAAATATGGAGTCTATGTATGATTTTAAATTGTATTTCTCTTGTACGTGCACAAACAGATATTCTCTTAGCATAAGACCAAATGTCATCCC